CCCAGTCAACCCATACATCAGTATTTATGCTAAAAATACATTCCCACATGTGTACAAGAGGCATAATAAGACTAGTAATTAACTTTGAGCAAGTTCATGCCTATGGTGCCAAGCACTGTGCTAAGAACTTCACCTGCATTACCTCATTTACTCCTTCCCATAAGCCTATAGGACATGTACAAGGTTGTATACTATCAAGAGTATAAGAACAAAAGATAGGGAAATAATTTACATGCCCATCAAAGTAGAACTAGTTAAATTTCTGTGCATCTATCCATCCACACAATGGACTATGATGCAGCCATTTAAATGAATGAGGCAAGGGGTGCCTGGTTGGCTCGGCTGAATAACCCAACTCTTGATTCCAGCTCAGGTCATGATCCTGGGGTCATGGGATCGAGCCTCTCACCGGGCTCTGCATTGAGTGTGGAGCTTGCTTAAGATTCTCTCTCTCTCTCTCTCTCTCTCTCCCTCTCTCTCTCTCTCCCTCCCTCCCTCTTCCCCTTTCCCTGCTTGCTCTAAATTTTTTTTTTCCAAATTAAAAGAATTTGGGGCACATGGATGGCTCAGTTGGTTAAGTGTCTGACTCTTAATTTTGGCTCAGGTCATGATCTCATGATTGGTAAGATCAAGTCCCATGTTGGGCCCCACTTGGGATCCTCTGTCTCCCTATCTCTCAGCCCCTCTCCTGCTCATTCTCTCTCTCTCAAAATAAATAAAAACTTCTAAAAAATAATAAAAAGTAATAAAATGAATGATGTAGATGTATGTAGAAGATACAGACCAGTCTGCAAAATACTGTATTGTAACTGGAAAGAAAGCAAGGTACAGAAGTATTGTATGCTCTTTTGTGTTAAAAGTGTGTGGTACACTTTCTTATACAAAGAAATTGGGCAAATAGCTATTGTTATATACATTGCTCTGGGGAAGGTGTCTGAGGTGGAAGAGAAACATATTTCATTGTATATCCTTTATACTTAAAAATATATATATATGCATGTATTTTTTCAATTAAAAAATTAGTTACAAAAATTTACTACTCTACTTTTACTCCCTTCAGAGTATAGTAATGGTAAATAATACTTTATTGAAGATTGGAAATTTTTAGGACATTAGTTTCATCCTTATAAACACCAGTTCCCAGTGTTTCAGACTAAGGTGTTTTATCTGTGTATGAGTCTGTCTCCCTCCTGGACTGAGAGCTCCCGAGGGCAGAAGTTATCTCCTGGCTGTGTGCACAGGGCCTGGAAAAGAGCAAGTTCTCAAAAATGTCTGTTGAATGGATGAAAAAAGTGGATAAGAAGGGGGAAAGAGAATACTTTCTTTCTGGATGTTGTCTCTAGGGCACATTCTTAGAAACATTTTTTGAATAATCAAATTCCTGATATGAATTTGTCTTTATGGATTTGCCTGTGACTCAAAAAAAGGAGAGCACAGAAAACAACTTTGAGTAACGGTTACAAACAATCTGGATCTCACACTACAGAGACCATGCTTCAGTGTAATCTTACCCTCATTTATTTGAAAGTTCAAGTAGACATACCGCCACTTCAATGTTATGTTCAACGCATTTGTCTGAGCATGTCACGAAAACATCAGTACGTACATGGTAAGGGTTGTCTGGATTGAAGGGTTCTGAATCCTCTTGAACACTAGGTCTGGTTTCATTATTTGGTTCTCTAGGCCCTGGGTTGCCCCGTGGTGCACTAGGTGGTCTCCTTGTGGTAGTTGTAACAATTTTTCTTACCAACTCTCTTCTTTCTCTCTGGATTTCTGCAAAAAACAAAAAACAAAACTAAGTTAATCCATTTATTTGGATAATTAAGGCAGTACTGTATCAGGGTAGAAGCATAAATGGATACCAAAAACATCGGACTGAATATGGAAATTTGTATTGATGATTTTTTAAATAATAAAGCATATTTCAGAGTCTTGGGTTAGTAAACAAACAGATAACCAGAATTTGGTTTTACAGTCCTGAGACAGGTATTCTAAGGTAGCTGACGAAAATCCATTCTCAATCCTTCTTCTTCACTTACCTCTACTATAGGCGCTGAGAAAGTAAGAGAGACCAGATGAAACATTTTGGGCCAGTGAGACGTAAGCAGAATATATTGGCGCAGTTTCTGGGAAAGCTTTTGCTTTCTTGGTAAAAGAGGACTGGTACAGCTTTCTCTGTCTTGTCTTCTTTTCTTGAGCATACATATATGTGGGTTATGAGAGCCAATTTGTGACCAGAAGGGATAGGCACAAGGATGATAAACCAGTATGCGATGGGTAGCAAAATGGTAAGATAGAAAGAGCCTAGGGGCGCCTGGGTGGCGCAGTCGGTTAAGCGTCCGACTTTAGCCAGGTCATGATCTCGTGGTCCGGGAGTTCGAGCCCCGCATCGGGCTCTGGGCTGATGGCTCAGGGCCGATGGCTCAGGGCCTGGAGCCTGTTTCCGATTCTGTGTCTCCCTCTCTCTCTCTCTGCCCTTCCCCCTTCATGCTCTGTCTCTCTCTGTCCCAAAAATAAATAAACGTTGAAAAAAAAAATTAAAAAAAAAAAAAAAAAGAACCTTGTGATGTAGCTGAGTAGCTGATAATGCCAGAAACCTCCCTCCACACTTTTGATTGTATGAAAAAAGTCAACCTGTATCTATTGAAACCACTGGTGAACAGGTATTCTGTTAACTTTCAGCCCTGTGCATTTTTTGTCTTTTATTTATTTATTTATTTTTATTTAATTTGTTTTTTAAACTTGCATCCAAGTTAGCATATAGTGCAACAGTGATTTCAGGAGTAGATTCCTTAATGCCCCTTACCCATTAACCGCGCCCCCCCCCCCACCCCTTCCGTAACCCTGTTTGTTCTCCAAACTTAAGAGTCTCATGTTTTGTCCCCCTCCCTGTTTTTATATTATTTTTTCTTCCCTTCATTTATGTTCATCTTTTGTATCTTAAAGTCCTCATATGAGTGAAGTCATATGGTATTTGTCTTTCTCTAATTTTGCTTAGCATAATACCCTCTAGTTCCATCCACATAGCTGCAAATGGCAAGATTTCATTCTTTTTGATTGCTGAGTAATACTCCATTGTGTGTATGTATATAAACACACACATACACACACACACACCACATCTTTATCCATTCATCCATCAATGGACATTTGGGCTCTTTCCATACTTTGGCTATTGTTGATAGTGCTGCTATAAACATTGGGGTGCATATGCCCCTTTGAAACAGTATACCTGTATCCCTTGGATAAATACCTAGTAGTGCAATTGCTGGGTCACAGGGTAGTTCTATTTTTAATTTTTTGAGGAACCTGCATTCTGTTTTCCAGAGTAGCTGCACAGGTTTGCATTCCCACCAGCAGTGCAAAAGAGATCCACTTTCTCTGCATCCCCGCCAACATCTGTTGTTGTCTGAGTTGTTAATGTTAGCCATTCTGACAGGTATGAAGTAGCATCTCATTGTGGTTTTGATTTGTATTTCCCTGGTGATGAGTGATGGTGAGCATTTTTTAATGTGTCGGCCATCTGGATGTTTTCCTTGGAGAAGTGTCTATTCATGTTTTTGCCCATTTCTTCGCTGGATTATTTGTTTTCTGGGTGTTGAGTTTGATAAGTTCTTTATAGATTTTGGATACTAACCCTTTGTCTGATATGTCATTTGCAAATATCTTCTCCCATTCCATCAGTTGCCTTTTAGTTTTTCTGATTGTTTCCTTTGCTGTGCAGAAGCTTTTATTTTGATGAGGTCCCATAGTTCATTTTTGCCCTTGCCTCCAGAGACGTGTTGAGTAAGAAGTTGCTGCGGCCAAGGTCAAAGAGGTTTTTGCCTGCTTTCTCCTTGGGGATTTTGATGGCTTCCTGTCTTACGTTGAGGTCTTTCATCCATTTTGAGTTTATTTTTGTGTATGGTGTAAGAAAGTGGTCCAGGTTCATTTTTCTGCATGTCGCTGTCCAGTTTTCCCACACCACTTGCTGAAGAGATTGTCTTTATTCCATTGGATATTCTTTCCTGCTTTGTCAAAGATGAGTTGGCCATACGTTTGTGGGTCTATTTCTGGGTTCTCTATTCTGTTCCATTGATCTGAGTGTCTGTTTTTACACCAGTACCATACTGTCTTGATGATTACAACTTTGTAATACACCTTAAAGTCCGGGATTGTGATGCCTCCAGCTTTGGTTTTCTTTTTCAAGATTGCTTTGGCTATTTGGGGTCTTTTCTGGTTCCATACACATTTTAGGATTGTTTGTTCTAGCTCTGTGAAGAATGCTGGTGTTATTTTGATAGGGATTGCGTTGAATATGTAGACTGCTTGGTTAGTATTGACATCTAAACGATATTCTTCCTATCCAGGAGCAAGGAATATTTTTCCATTTGTGTGTGTGTGTGTGTGTGTGTGTGTGTGTGTGTGTGTGTGTGTGTTTTCTTCAGTTTTCTTTCATAAGCTTTCTATAGTTTTCTGTGTATAGATTTTTCACCTCTTTGGTTAGATTTATTCCTAGCTATTGTATGGTTTTTGGTACAATTGTAAATGGGATTGATTCCTTGATTTCCCTTTCTGTTGCTTCATTATTGGCATGTGGGAATGCAACTGATTTCTGTGCATTGATTTTATATCCTGCAACTTTGCTGACATGGATCAGTTCTAGCAGTTTTTGGTGGAGTCTTTTGGGTTTTCCCTATAGAGTATCATATCATCTGCGAAGAGTGAAAATTTGAACTCCTGGCCGATTTGGATGCCTTTTATTTCTTTGTGTTGTCTGATTCCTGAGGCTAAGACTTCCAAACTATGTTGAATAATAGTGGCGAGAGTGGACATCCCTGTCTTGTTTCTGACCTTAAGGGGAAAGCTCTCAGTTTTTCCCATTGAGGATGATATAAAGCATTGGGTCTTTCATATATGGCTTTTATGATCTTGAGATATGATCCTTCTATCCCTTTCTTGAGGATTTTATCAGGAAAGGATGCTGTATTTTGTCAAATGCTTTCTCTGCATCTGTTGAGAAGATCGTGTGCTTCTTGTCCTATCTTTTACTGATGTGATGAATCACATTGTTTTGTGGATATTGAATCAGCCCTGCATCCCAGGTATAAATCCCACTTGGTCGTGGTGAATATTTTTTTTAATGTATTGTTAGATCTAGTTGGCTAATAATATCTTGTTGAGGATTTTTGCATCCATGTTCATCAGGAAAATTGGTTTATAGTTCTCCTTTTTAGTGGGGTCTTTGTCTGGTTTTGGAATCAAGGTAATGCTGACTTCATAGAAAGAGTTGGGAAGTTTTCTATCCATTTCTATTTTTTGAAACAGCTTCAAGAGAATAGGTGTTAACTCTTCTTTAAATGTTTGGTAGAATTTCCCTGGAAAGCCATCTGGCCCTGGACTCTTGTTTTTTGGGAGATTTTTGATTACTAATTCAATTTCTTCACTGGTTATGGGTCTGTTCAAATTTTCTATTTCTTCCTGTTTCAGCCTTGGTAGTGTATATGTTTCTAGGAATTTGTCCATTTCTTTCAGATTGCCCATTTTATTGGCGTATAATTGATTTAAATATTCTCTTATTATTGTTTGTATTTTTGCTGTGTTGGTTGTGATCTCCTCTTTCATTCTTGATTTTATTTATTTGGGTCCTTTACTTTTTGATAAAACTGGCTAGGGGTTTATCAGTTTGGTTAATTATTTCAAAGAACCAGCTTCTGGTTTCATTGATCTGTTCTGCTGGGTTTTTTTTTTTTTTTTTTTTTTTTTTTTTGGTTTCAATAGCATTGATTTCTGCTCTGATCTTTATTATTTCCTGTCTTCTGCTCGTTTGGGGTTTTATTTGCTGTTCTTTTTCCAGCTCTTTAAAGTGTAAGGTTAGGTCGTGTATCTGAGACCTTTCTTCCTTCTTTTGGAAGGCCTGGATTGCTATATACTTCCCTTCTTATGACTGCCTTTGCTGCAACCCAGAGGTTTTGGGCTGTGGTGTTATCATTTTCATTGGCTTCCATGTACTTTTTAATTTCCTTTTAACTTCTTGGTTGGCCCTTTCATTATTTAGTAGGATGGTCTTTAGTCTCCAAGTATTTATTACCTTTCCAAATTTTTTCTTGTGGTTGATTTCGAGTTTCATAGCATTGTGGTCTGAAAATATGCACAGTATGAACTCGTTCTTTTTGTACTTGTTGAGGGCTGATTTGTGTCCCAGTATGTGATCTATTCTGGAGAACTTTCCATGTGCACTGGAGAAGAATGTGTATTCTGCCGCTTTAGGATGAAATGTTCTGAATATATCTGTTAAGTCCGTCTGGTCCAGTGTGTCATTCAAAGCCATTGTTTCCTGGTTGATTTTCTCTTTAGATGATCTGTCCATGCTGTAAGTGGGGTGTTGAAGTCCCCTACTATTATGGTATTATTATCAATGAGTTTCTTTATGTTTGTGATTAATTGATTTATATGTATTTGGGTGCTGCCACATTTGGAATGTAAATGTTTGCAATTGTTAGGCCTTCTTGGTGGATAGACACCTTAATTATGATATAAAGCCCTTCTTCATCTCTTGTTACAGTCTTTATTTTAAAGTCTAGATTGTCTGATATAAGTATGGCTACTTTGGCTTTCTTTTGTCTACCATTAGCTCTATAGATGGTTCTCCATCCCCTTACTTTCAATCTGAAGGTGTCTTTAGGTCTGAAGTGGGTCTCTTGTAAACAGCATATTTATGGATCATGTTTTCTTACCCATTCAGTTACCCCATGTCTTTTGATTGGAGCATTTAGTCCATTGCCATTTAGAGTGAGTACTGAGAGATATGAATTTATTGCAATTATGTTGCTTGTAAGTTGGAGGTTCTGGTGGTGTTCTCTGGTCCTTTCTAGTCTTGTTGCTTTTGGTCTTTTTTTTCTTGTCTTTTATCCCTTCAGAGAGTCCCCCTTAAAATTTATTGGAGGGCTTGTTTAGTGGTCACGAACTCCTTTAATTGTTGTTTGGGAAACTTTTATGTCACCTTCTATTTAGAATGACAGCCTTGCTGGATAAAGAATTCTTGGCTGAATATTTTTCTGATTCAGCACATTGAATCTATCCTGCCACCCCTTTCTGGCCTGCCAAGTTTCTGTGGATAGGTCTGCTCTGAACCTGATCTGTCTTCCCTTGTAGGTTACGCACTTTTTTTTTCCTCTTGCTGCTTTCATGAGTCTTTCCTTGCCAGAATATTTTGTGAATTTGACTATGATATGCCTTGTTGATGGTCGGTTTTTGTTGAATCTAATGGGAGTCCTCTGTGCTTCCTGTATTTTGATGTCTGTGTCTTTCCCCAGGTTAGGAAAGTTTTCTGCTATGATTTGTTCACATAAACCTTCCACCCCTTTTTCTCTGTCTTCATCTTCTGGGACCCTTATGATTCTGATGCTGTTCCTTTTTAATCAGTCACTGATTTCCCTAATTCTTAAACCGTGCTCTTTTGCTTTGTCTGCTCTTTTTTTCTGCTTCATTATTCTCCAGTAGTTTGTCCTCTATATCGCTGATTGGCTGCTCTGCCTCATCCATCTTTGCCACCGTGGCCACCGTGGCATCCATTCGAGATTGCAGCTCAGTTATAGCATTTTTTATTTCATCCTGACTAGCTTTTACTTCTTTTATCTCTGCAGAAAGGGATTCTAATCTATTTTCGACCCCAGAAGTATTCTTATTGTGATTCTAAATTCTGGTTCAGACATCTTGCTTGTATCTGTGTTGATTAAGTTCCTGCCTGTCGTTTCTTCCTGCTCTTTCTTTTGGGGTGAATTCCTTTGTTTCATCATTTTGAAGGAAAAAAAGGAATTAAAGTAAAAAAAAATAAAATTAAAAAATTAAAAACAACACACATACACACAAAAGTCAAATAAATGATGCTAGATCCTAGATGTGTTTTAGTCTGGGTGTTGAAAGGAGCTTGATAGATTAGGGGGAGGAAAATATTTGAAAATTTGAAAAAATACAATGAAGTAGAATAAAATGAAATGATGGAAGTAAAATAGAATTTGAAAAATTTACAAAAAAGTAAAAAATATAGTAGAAAAATAATAAAAATTGAAAATGAAAATAAAATTTTTCTCTTTCTGTATTCAAGAAAAAGAAAAGAAAAAAAAGTGATAGATGGACCAGCAAACAGACTGAAATAGAATTGAAATTACATCGCTCTCCCCTAGAAGTCAAACTCTGAAGCGCTTTATAGTCTGCAAACTAAGCAGGCTGAGAAACTTGAGGTGTTCCTGAAGAGTGAGGTTGGCTCAGTTGGGCGGGGCTTAGTGTAATGGCTCTATTCTCCACTAGATGGCGCTCTTTAGTTTACTGGGGTGGATTGTTGCCGCCCTCGTTGGTCCGTATGCGCATGCGCGGATAGAGTGAATATGGCGTCACCCAGTTGCCCAGTCTCTACTATCCAAACTCCATTCTCTCCGATCAGCTGTCGCACACCCGTCCTTTGTCTCCAGCTTCCGTCCACTCCCCGCTTTTACATTGTTCGTGACCAAGCCATCAGGTTAAATGCGGCACGTCCCTCCTACAGTGTGGCTCCCTCTCGGATGCAGCTGTGTTTCCCAACCCCTCACTTCTGAGGGACTACGACTTTGACCCGCTCAGATCCTCTGGGGGAGGGTCTCAATGAGCAATGGCCAGGTGCTGCCCGCACCCAGGAACGTTTGTGGGACCCTGCTGCTGCCGATGCCCAGAGACTGGCTGGGTGCCAGCCCACCCCACAAAAGATTCACGCCATCGTGTAGCAGCGTTTCAGGGATATGGAAAATCCCAACATGCATCTGGCACCAGGCTTCACCCTTAACGTCCTGTTCCAGAAGCAGCGAATGTGGTTGTTCTCCGGGGTCTGCTGGGGTGGCTACAGATTCTACCAAATGTCCTCCCAGCAGGGAAACCGCCTCTGCCCGTGGCTTGAGAACCCCTGGACTTCACTCTGCTTCTGGGGATTCGCCCTTCCCACCAGAGCTTCTCCAGGTAACGAGCTGTGGAGTTTCAGACTCTGTGCTCCCCCTCTTTATAGAGTCTTAATGGAATTTAAACCCTCGCCTTTCTCCTTTCTGCCTGTTTTGTTCGGTCCCTGCAGCTGTTTCCACTTTTCCACTTTCTCTCCAGCTGCTTTTGGGGGGTGCGGGGGATGTACTTTTCCCATACATCCCCCCCCCCCCCCCCCTCCATCCTCTCTCCACAAGAAAAAACAGCTCCCTGCCCTCCTCAGCTTCTCTCTCCCTCACTTTACCTTTCCACGCCGCGTACCTGCTGAATTCTGTGGTTCAGGTTGTGCAGATTGTTGTGTGATCCTCAAATCAGGATTTGGTTGATTTGTGTTGATTTGGCTGTATTTCGTGGATGTGAGATGCAAAAAAAAAAACTTCCATGCTGTTCCACCATCGTGACTCCTTGCTGTTTGTTTGTTTTTAAGTAAGCTCCACGCCTGGCATGGGGCTGGAACTCCCCAAGCAGATATCTAGATTCACGTGCTTTACCAGCTGAGCCAGCCAGGCATTCCAGCCCTCTGTGTTCTTAACAGGTTGACTATATATGTATAAAGCTTTACAATTTTTAGGAGATTTGTTGTCTTAGTTGATTCTTTTAAAAATCCTATGGGTGGGATAGAAAAGGCAGTAACTTTTATATGTGAGGGCATCGAGGCTCAGAAAGACCAAGTGACTTGGCCAAGATCACAGAATGGGTGGCAGAGACAGGAGCCAAACGTGACCTTCTCTGGCTCCCAGCCCAGTGCTCTAGTTGATCACACAGCGACACGGGTCCCATGGTTGCTGAATAACAGACATGGAAAGTAACCACCCAATGTGGGCTTTGGTGTCTCTCGGAGTCTGACTTTCTTCATCTGTAAAAGGGGGATAATGTATCTAATTCACCGAATGGTGACAGAAGATAGAGTTGTGCCTAAGGGTTTTACTATAGCATTTGGCATATAATAAGCCCTCAAATGTTAGGTAATGATGATTATAGCATGCTGTATTATTTCTGAGAACTTAGATGTGCTTTAGAGCCATGGAGAACTTCCATAGACAGCTTCTGGGTTTCTGAGTTCATGGTTGGAGAGGCATCAGGGAGACCTGGATTCAAATCTCAATACCACTTCTTTTAACTAACTGAATGACCTCAGGCAAGCTGTTTAATTTCTGTGAACCTTGGTTTCTTCATCTATAAAATGGGACTATTTGTAGTTACTAGGACAGTTATTGGCAAAAAGTAACTGAGGACAAAATAGAAAGCTGTAGCACAATGGCTGGCACAAAGCCAGCGCTCAGCGACCCTCACCCTTCCCTGTGACCTTGCCCAGCCACCATTGTCTCTTGATAATACAGCTCTGTGACCTGCCAGCTTAAAGATCCAAGACAGAGGTTGCTGGAGTTGGGGAGTTTGTTTTTGTTTTTTTTCGTGTTTTTGTTTATTTTTGAGACAGAGAGCATGAGCAGGGGAGGGGCAGAGAGAGAGGGAGACACAGAATCCGAAGCAGGCTCTGGGCCCTGAGCTGTCAGCACAGAGCCTGATGCGGGGCTTGAACTCACGGACTGTGAGATCATGACCTGAGCCCAAGTCAGACACTTAACCGGCTGAGCCACCCAGGCCCCCTGGGGAGCTTTTTTTAGAATTAGGTGGTTGGGACCGACATCCTCAGAGGGGGTTTACTTTCTTGATTTTATTGTTAAATGTGACATTTATGAAAGACTGAAAAAAAAATCCTTCATCTTTAATGTGTATAATACGCCCCGTGGCTGTACCAACAGTTACTTAAACCTTTTCATCGCTGGGGGCATTTCCACTTTTCTGGTGTTGTGCATAACATGTAATTCTGGGATGGGTCTGGTGATGATTGACTACTTAAGAGGTGGTCCTGCCTGTGGGCTGTGAGGGGCCAAGCTCCATATCAGAGGTAGGGAACACGCTCTTTCCCAAAGGGTGAAAGCGCTCAGTCAGCCAGACCAGCACCGCCTTCGCACGGCCACCCCCGCCCTCTTTGCCCTGCTCTGTTACGTTTCCGTAACAGGGCGTGTTCGCTTGCTACAATGTAAACTTCTGTTCAGTGCATCCCAATTACCCGGCACAAGTAAATGGCACGCAATAAGCCTTCAAAAAATGTTTGTCCAACAAATGAACGAACTCACTGGGTAAGAGGCTTGTCCTCACGAACGGGAAGTGATTAGAGAGAGCTCTACATGGGAGCATCGCCTGAGGCTCCGACGCGGCAAAGTGACAGGTATTGGAGGAGTAGCTCCTGGGGGTGGGAAGCAAGAAGCCCATTCCGTGTGGATGGAGGTGAGCAATCGAAAACTAGACCTTGGCAAACGGCCACAGAATTGCGAGTTGCCAGCACCCCCTGGAGCAAGAACAGGGAGGGCAAAAGTGACCCTCCATTTGGCCGCCCCCTCTCTGGCCCCTAGGGGGTGACAGACACTGCTCATGCCTGTGGCCTCAGGATCCTTCTCAACTCTCCTTCCAGTGGCTTAACAATTGAATCCTATTTGCTTTGCCTGGGCCAGAAAGGAACCATCTTATCCAAGCTTTGGGACATGATATTTGTGATTCAGAGGAATGAATTAGCCATGGCAGAACCGGAAGCCTGAACTTTCTAAACCTGGTCAGGTTTTGTGTTTTTTGTTTTTTTTTTAAATTATGGTAACATATACATAAAAATTTACCATTTTAGCCATTTTTATGATTGTACAGTTGAGTGCATTCACATTGCTGTGCAAACGTGTTTCCATAACTTCTTCAGTTTTGCGGAATTGTAACCACACCCTTTCAAAAATAACTGCCCATCTCCCCCTCCTAAGCCTCCCCCTCCTAAGTGGTCTTAATGCCTGTATTTTATTTCCATGCTGCTCTCTCTGTGTCCAATAAAATCTTTCAGAAAACAGTATACCTCAGCTGTGTTGAGAGAAAGGCCCTTTTCCCACACTTGAGCCAGAACTACTGAGTCAGCCTTTGGGGGGCCGGTGGGGTGACTGGTGGCAGTGACGAGTGAAGGTGCCCTAGGGACGGAGAAACTTGGTCCTCGGGGCTCACCTGCCCTTCAGCCACTGATGGCTCAAAGGTATGCTCCAACCAGGGGCCCTTCATTTCTTTTCAGCGGACTTAGGAGCTGATGCTCAAGCCCTGAACTTGAAGAATCTCAGCCTATGGCCACAGCAGCTTTTGGCTGCCTCATAATTCTAGGTATGAGTATAATAAAGATTCAGCAGTCTGACAGCTTCTTAGGCCCTTGATTCTCTGCCCTCGGAATAAAAAACATGTAAAATTGGAAAGTGCAAACAACTTAGATTAAGGAGCAGAGCAGAAAGAAGGGGGAGTCTCATAAATAAAAATGGCAGATGATGCAGTAATGGTGAGTCTCCCTGATCTGCTTCCTGTTAACCCTGCCACTCAGTCCCTTCCCTAAAACATTCATGGTTGTCACCTTCCTTCTCTTTGATCTGTCTTGCCAATTACTGAGACACTGTGACTTGCGTCCTGATAAGTCTTCCTTGTTACATGCTCAGGCCTGTGGAGGGGCTCAGGAAACCTATCAGCAGCACTAAAAGAATTTAAAATGTTACCTTTTGGGTATGTTGGCTTAAGCCAGAAGATAGGAAGGTCACCACAGAGTTCTAAGACCTTAGAACTCAAGAAGCTGTTGTCCTTCACGGGCTGGTCGACAGCCACCCAGATAAGAGAATTTTCTTCATACTTGACTGGCATGATCTTGCCTTCCTGTAAGTTCAGTAAAAACGAAATGCATTGAGCAGAGTGGACGGTGAAACATGCGTATTAAGAGTCACGTGCTGGTAAAACATTATTTCGCCTACTAAAAACTTAATGAGAATTGTGAGTGTGTGTGAGGGGCTGTGAGCTGTGTGTGGTGTGCGTGTGGTGGGGTGTAGGCGGGGGTATGTCGTGTGTGTGGGGTGAGTGTGGAGATGTGAGTGTAGGGGGTATTGTGGGGTTTTGTGGTGTGTGTGTCGGATGTCGGTGGAGGGCAGGTAGTGTGTGTGGGATGAATGGGGTAGGGGGTATGTGTGGGGTTGTCGGGGGGTGTCAGTGGGAGGTATACAGTGTGTGTGGGGTGAGTGTGGGATGTGTATGTGGGGGGGTTTGTATAGCGTTGTGGGGTGTGAGTGTGTGAGTGTGTGGGTGCGTGTGTGCGTGTGTGTGTGTGTGTGTGTGTTTGTGATGCGTGTAGGGGAGTATGGGTTGGGGGTGTGTGGTGTGTGTAAGGGGGCATGTGTGGGGTGTGCTGTGTGTGTCTTATCTCTGTAGCTCTCTTCACAACATTGTCTTCGCCCTGCTTGTCACCCTGCCTTGCATAACTGAAATGTGTGAATATTGAGTGTCCTGAGTGGAAGTGAAAATTACTTGCTACCAACTTTGAGATTTAGGTTAATCTGATGTTGCTGATCAAAGATTTTTTTGAGGAAAAGCAATTGAACGGACTCTGAAATCCTGTAAAGGGATAGAGGAGCCCTTCATTTGAAGTGAAAATCCTTTGGGGTTTTGTTCTGCAGCCTCCGAACAACAATGGAAAAAGCAAGCGATTGGTTCTTTAATGTCTTCAGTTCAAAGTATTATTTAACATAAACCATTTCTACATTTCCCAGCTATAACAAAACACATTTCAGATGTTCCTCACATCAAGCACACCACTGAGATTTCAAAGTTAAACCCTGAATTTTCTTCTACAGCGAGATACTGAGAATGGTCTGATAACCCAGGAGACAAATTTATTTTGCCAGGTTGTTCCTTTCATATATTTATTAGTTTGCAAGAGGTTGGAGAAATTAAAATGTTTTCTCCATATTTTCAGCTAAAAGCAGCACTTCATTTATGCTTTCTCCCCAAGGCTTATGGTTGCATGAAAACAACTTAAAGTCATTGGAGGAAGTTAACACTCAGGTAATCCAGTTATTTACCTTAAATTAAATGGCTCTGTCCAGGAAATGAATACTCTTTGGGTATAGCAGCTTTTTAAAGTTCTACGAAACTGATGAAAATTTTATAAGAGCAAGTGGTACATAAACCTACTTCATCATAATCTAAAGCGTGTGGGGAAAGAGTGGGGCGATGGGGATAACGCATACATATGCATCTTACAAGCTAGGAATGTTAAAATCAACTTACGGCACATGGTCTCAGCTGCCCATCCAACCTTGTCTCTCCCTGCCCTTGCAACACAGTCCCGCTTCTGTGTGAGGCAGCAGTGTCCCCGCCCCAGGAGAGAGGCTGGCTGCTTGCTTTCTCAGACCCTCCAGTGGCTTGGGGTGCCCTAGACTATGCGATTCACACTGAAGTCTACTGGGGGGCTGAGAAAACTCCTGCTTTTCCTAATTAAAGGGAAGTCGTGCTTGGCACTGCTCAACCCCTTCTGACTTCGTACTCGAATGCATGGTTGATGTTTTGGAGCTGGAAGGAAAGGCCAAAAAAATCAGCGATGCTGGCCACCGAGCCAGTGCCTGCAGCCACCTCCTTCCGTATCGGCTACTGTGCAGAAAAACAAATCCTTTTTGTTTCAGTCACTGTGGGTGTAGTTTTCTGCCACTGACATTCCTAATCCACACAAACACGTTGCCTGCATTTGACTTGTCCACCAGAGGGTCCACCAAGCACAATATAAGCAACTAAAACACAGAAAAAATAATTCAGCTTTACGGTCTAAGAAAAGAATCAGATGCAGGCAAAGCTGTAAAAGGCTAAACTGGTCATCACTGAATTATTTCTATATTCAAATAATTACTTTGAATTATTATTTGAAATAGTGAAAAATTAAAGATGGCTGAAGTATTCAAGAGCAAAAGACTTAAATTATAATCATCTGATGACGTATAATACCTCCATTATCATCTACATTTTAGAATAACTAAAGTTAGGTGAAATTAATAAGAATGTAGAGCAATATAACTTCAGTTATGAAAAGGAAACCACACATCCCCGTGCATTAAAAAAATTCACCAAAACATTAACATTAGCTATCTGTGGATTATGCAATTGTGGATGATTTTCTTCTCCATTCTATGTAATTCCCCAATTTTCTACCATGGCTACGTATTGTTTCTAAATATCAGGAAAAAAAATAACCTTGTTTTTAAAGAACCCCAGAAATGTACTGCAAACTTATGATTAGATCTACATCAGCTATGTTAGGAGAGCTGGCTCTTCTGGAAGGCAGGAGAAAAGAACCAGCTCTATGTCCACTTAAGGAGGAAATGTAAAGGCTTGTGCATTACAGAAACTGAGTCACAGGACTATAAAAAATGGTAATGCAATAAGAAGTTCAAGGGTCAGGGTGCCTGGGTGGCTCAGTCAATTAAGCATCGGACTTCAGCTCAGGTCATGATCTGGCGGTTCATGGGTTTCGAGCCTGGCCTCGGGCTCTGTGCTGACAGCTCAAGAGCCTGGAGCCTGCTTCAGATTCTGTGTCTCCCTTGCTCTCTGCTCCTCCCCCAACCGTGCTCTGTCTCTCTCAAATATAAATAAACACTTTAAAAAATTTGAGAAAATTTCAAGGGTCAGAACGAAGGAGCTCTTGGTCTCATTTTTATACTCCGTACTAGTGGGTTCACACTGAGCATGGCATTCTGTTCTGAATGGCACAGCTCCTGAGGAACAAACTGGAATATGGTCACAGCCAAACGACTAGAGCAATGAAAGTCTGGAAACCGTCTCACAGGATGAATGGGGAAACTGGGAGCAGAGGAGAAAACTGGGGACATGATAGCCAGCTTTAGAAACTCACCGGTTTGTTTTAGCTTTTGTTTTCTTTTGTTGTGAGACGCCTGCTGCTCCTATGACAGCAACCAGGCAGTTTCCAGGCACCTCTGCTTACCCTTAGTTTTCCTCTTTTGCCTTAAGGGAGCTGATGCTTGCTTTCCCTCCCTCTCGGGGACACAGGAAGGACCAAAGCTGATCATAATGGAATTAGTGATTTAGAGCAGCAGCCGTGTAGTCATTATCCGGTAGGTTCTAGGGCCACGAGGACAGGATGCAGACCCTTAGTTTGTAGATAGCAAAACCGAGGTCCAAGGAATTGAAGCCACATCCACAGCAAGTGTCAGAGCTGGGATTCGAACCCACATTTTTCTAACTCTAAAGTCTATTTTCTTCCCACTATATCCTGCCACAACTCACATGGAAGGCAATAACACGTGGAACCACTTCATAAGCCCTAAAGTATCAAATAAATGTAACACATCAGATGTGTCTTTAGAACTCTGTGCAATTCTTAAAGTAAATTTTTATAAAATCAGGCTCAGAGGCAAGTTGTTAATAATAAATGGGAAAATTATACTTAAAATCCTCACAAGTCTGACATGTAGGAAAGGAATTCAATACATGCTAAGGAGCTTCACTGGGCTGAACTCAAGCCAAGGGAAAGAAACCAGGGGAGCCAGCTCAACTCAGTGTAGAGCATAACGGTTTGAACTGTCCCCCTCCCCAGGAAGTTGCCTGGCACCCAGGGAAGGGAGCACCCTGTCATTGCTTTCCAGCACAGGCATTGGAGATTTTCAGGAGGAACCCCACACTGATTGGAAGTGAGGCTAGAAGGCTCCTGAGGCCCCTAATGAAGATTCTGTTATGAGACGTCCTTTGTATTGTTTTCATTACTAATCGGATAGTTCCCCAACATTAGGCAAATGAGAGCCATGTGAAGACCGAGCCCTTTTATGCACTTTAAAATATGGTTTACTGGGGCACCTGGGTGGCTCAGTTGGTTAAGCGTCTGACTCTCATCTCGCCCCAGGTCACGATCTCACAGTTCATGGGATTGAGCCCTGCATTGGGCTCTGCACAGAGACAGTGTGGATCCTGCTTGGGATTCTCCCTCTCTCTCTTTCTCTGCAAATCCCCTACACATGCTCTCTCTTTCTCTCAAAATAAATAAACATTAAAAAATATATGGTATACCATGTCATATAAGAATGATCGCTTGGAATCGCCAAGGAGGACCAAAATAGTTCCAACTCCTTTGGCAGAGAAGGAATAGACTCTGTATTCTGGTCACAAAGCTATACAGGAATGAGAGACAGAAAGGGTTGTGGATTCAAATGATGCCTACCAGACCCCCTTGCTGTCTGAAGCATGCGGGCGGTACCCACCAATTCGGAGGAGATGCTCTGTTTGGTCACGGTGCCCACTTCAGGAACACGAGCCTTCACCTGTGCTTTGATGTAGCACTTTTCTCCTCCAGCAAAACGGATTCCGGTGATGCCCTAGGAAATAAAATTTTATCCATCCATCTATCCATTGGTTCATTTACTCAATGTGTTGAGTGTCTACCGCGAACCGGGCACTGTTCCAGGCACTGGGTATGGGCATGAACAGAACAGATGGCATGTCTGCACTCACAGAGCTTACCTCGTTGTGTTATTTACCAAAAATAAAAGGCAGAGGGGAAGTCAGGTGGTGGTAAGTGCTATGGAGAAAAATACAGCAGAGTGTGAGACAGGAATGACAGAGGTGGTACTTTTGACAGTGTGGTCGGGGAGGCCCCAGTCAGGGGCATGTGAACTGACACGGAGTATGGTCATTGCTCCGCTAACCCAAGCAGGCTCAGATGAAATGCTGCCTCGTCCAGGCAGCTTTCTCTGACCCTGATTTCCCGTAAGCTCTCCAGTCTTCATTCCCTCCTGTGGCACTTAGTTCTCAGTGCCTGTGCGGTCACTCCTGGTCAAGGTCCTGGCCCCACTCAATGATAAGCCTCTTTGACATTGGCATCGGAATCTTTTATCTTTCTGGTGATCCCACGAAGGTTCTCAAAAGATGGGGGCCCAATTAATTAATTCCATGGATTCCGATTTTTCCCAGGTCACCCAGCCAGGGAAATAGCAACACTTCGACAACACCAGGAACTGACCTTTGTTCCTAGACCTTACCTGAGGACTCAGATGTTTTGTTCTTGTCCCCTGTGTGACACAAACAGTGTCTCCTTGTCAGCCTAGGGCCTGGCCTTAAGGGAAACCTCGTCCACGGGGCTCTGTTGTTGGCTGACAGCTCGGTGCCGATGCTACCTCGGGTGCATCAGGCACAACAGTACGTTCTGTCCCAAGAGTGTTTCCTTTCACCCTGCTGGTGAATTTCATGACGAGTGAGTGGCCAAAAGCAGTATGAAAGGCCTACAGATTTTATGCCCGAACAACATAGACACCAACAGAAACCCAAACCCCTCAACTTGTCAATCTGTTCAGTTGGGACAAATGTCAGGAAGATAAGGACCTTGTTCCAGCATCAGTGCCGCACAGTGGGGGAGGAAGAGCATTTAGAAACCTCCGGGGCTTGGCTCAGGACACTGCCCTCCTCGGTGAAGAACAGAGTCAAATGTAAGTCATGCTAGAAGACACTCGTGGCAAGTCGCACCGTTGGTAATCTGAGAGCCAGCAGCCCTGCAAATGCTGGTGACAGAGCAGAGAGCAGAGAAGGAAAGGCTCGTTCTTCCTGAAGCTCCTTGTGCTCTCCCCTGTGGCCTAATTGGCCATGATCGCACATGTGACATGTTCATCTTAGCATCACCTCTCACCCAGAGAGCGGTGGTAGCAACATCCCCTCACTCTCCAGGAGGAGGGACTCCAGGTTTACCGTGCGACTTCTCAACTCACTGCACCAAAGCCACCTGGACAGATTTTAAAACCATGGATGCCTGGGGCTCTCCCCAGAGATTCCCGTTTCACTGGCCTGGGGCAGTGCCCAGACAGTGGGATGCTTCAAAGCTCCCTGTGTCGTTACAATGTAAACCTGGGGTCGAGGACCATCGCGTTAGGGCGAAAACAACTTGTTCAAGGTGACAACATTCTTAAATGACTGAAACCACCTGCTGTAGACTGACTGTTTTTGTCCCCTTACCCGAGTACCTATGTTGAAACCTAACGCCCAATGCAGTGGTATTTGGAGGTAAGGCCTTTGGGAAGTTAAAGGCAGAGCCCTCGTGAGTGGGATTAGTGCCTCATAAAAGGGACCCCAGAGAGCTCCCTCACCCCCCTTCTGCCACGTGAGGACACAGTGAGAAGACAGGCCAACTATGAACCAGAAACTAGGGCCACCATAGACCCTCATCAGCTAGTGCCTTAATTTTGGACCAACCAGCCTCCAGAACTGTGAGAGGTTCCTGCGGTTTAGAAGTCACTCCGTCTATGATACTTTGTTACGGCAGCGTGCGTGAGCTAAGACACAGCCTTTGAATCCAGGATTCTTCTATACCACCAGCTCACCAATTTTCCCTTGCATCAAAATCACCTGGAGGACTTGATAAATAAAACAGTGTTGGGCCCTGCCCCCGGAGATTCTGATCCAGGTCTGGAGTGGGGACTGAACTCTGCACTTCCAATAAGCTCTTAGGTGCTGCCGCTGCTGGTGGCCTAGGGAACACGTTTTGAGAACCACTGTTCTCTGCTCTCTCCTGCAGACCTGCTGCTCGTATTCTGCATGCACATCTAGGGCTCGTGGTTTGAAAAACAGAAGGCGGGGGGGGGGGGGGGGGAGTACTGCTGCCCCCGTGCCATATGTCCTTTTCACTTCACACCCTTATATCCTCTGAATGTGAGGTGCGAGGGGGAAACACCATATAACCGTCGCCATATCCCCCAAGGAGAGAGCTGATTCTGTCAAAGGATTCACAGCCCCGATGTGAATCTCGTGTTGAGTTAGTTCTGACAGTCTACACACTGCAAAGAGAGCCGAAGCCCCATAGGGATGGGTCCTGTGGGAAGGAATTCACACGTCTGAAACACCTTGTCTGGCTACAAATCCATATCACGCAGCCAGATCTTTGAAGAGATTAAACAGCAGGAATGGAAAAGCACAAGAAAGCCAAGCGAACCTCCTGCTTCTGCAAACAAACAAGGCCTCAGAAGCTGGTGATAATGAAGAAATATGCTAACAAAGATAATGAGGGAAGAGTCCAATGCTCTCACATTCTTTTAATAATTAAGAGTCAGGCAATCTCATTGTAGCTGCACAGTTTTTCTTTCTAGAGGATCTCATAGGATTTCTGTGGCTTCAACCAGAAGTTCCCAACAAGTTCCCAAGAGGGCACTTTAGAAATCGTTCAGGGAGTTCTGAGTTGTCACAAAGACTGGGGCTCTCCTGGGCTTCCTCAGGCAGAGCCCAGGGATGCTGGGCCCCAGAGAGCCCAGGGAAGCCCCGAAGACCTGACTGCCCTGGGGCCTGGGGGAAAAACGTGATTGTAAGTATCTGTGCCTACACTCGAACACCCTTTTACGTATAAAGACAAAGCGACTTTTGGCAAAGTTTCCATGTATGATGATGACATTCTTAGGAATGCAATTACTATGAAAATAGAGAGAAGATGGTAGTTTTGCTCACTGTTTGAGAAAACAGGCTGGTATTTAATCTGCCAAC